GGGTTAGTATTTCAGTATGATGATTAGAATTAAATTGTTTAAAAATTGATCATAATATTAAATTTATATAATAGAAAAAAGAATAGAGTTTAAAGTTTAAATTATAATAGTGAATTAATAATATTAAGCTTATATAAATTTTAATTTAAAAATAATTATTCTTACAATTTAATTATAATAAAACAACTAATTTAACCTCTTATAAACCAAACCTTAAAATTTCATCAATGTTGACGAACCTGGGGCAACGCCCAGGCTTACGGGCTAGTTTGAATAATAAATGACAATTTTTATAATTTGCATTTAACTGATTTTCATATGTATAATAATCATTCAGAAAAAAAATAAAAAATTGGCAAAGAATACAAATAATATTCATGTTTTTGAGCGATATTTGAATGAACTGAATTATTCAATAATATTAGTAAATAAAATTTTTCAATATTAAAAGAATAATATTTTATTAAATACTAGTCAATTGCAACAAGCATAAATAAGAAAGATATTCTTTTCAAATTTTAATTTGCTAAAGTTTTAAAATTTAAAACTTCAAAGTTTAATTTTTTATAATTCAGAACTAATCGCTAAAAAAATGCGTAGGCATAGTTAAATTCGGGAAATTTTCGATTTATTTCACATGATGTTCAATAAAATAATTTTCATATAAAAGCTACGCGTCGTAATCTACGTTTACGCTTCGAACAATTTTATACAGTATATCTAATAAGACACTAATAAGATGTAATAAGACGTGACAGCGTGACAACTGAAAATCTCATGTGATAAAAAGTATTACTGTTCTTCGCTCTGGACAAAAAAAAAAGAAATATGTTTATTTATTTAATACTCTCGCATAATAGTCTACCATCGAAGATCAAATAAGATGAGTACTAACATTTGTTTTTGTAACTATTTTAAAGTCACTTCTTAGTTGAAATAGAAACATCGAAATTCAAAAAACATATCTTAGCTAAAATTTGTAAAAGTCATTTTTTGCCGATGAAAAAGTCCTACATGATTTACATAATTTTAGGATTTAGCTTTACATATAAAAAAGATGTTAAAGAACATTTGTAACACAATCGGCTTTAGAATGATCATACTGAAAAACAGTTTGTCATACAAATAATTTTTTTGATAAAATTTTTTCATCATTTCCTTTCTCGTTAATTTGTGCCTCATTTTTATTTCTTCTGTGCTGAATGTTTAATAATTACGCCATTACTTAAAAAAGATACTTTTCACATGAAAAATAATAAAGTTGATCGACGACTTAAACTTTTCCGTAGCACTATGGTAAATTCTTAAAATTCCGTGATAAAATCCAGAAATACTTTCCGTATCACTAATAAAAGGCTCAAACTCCTGGTAATGTATAAATAAAATGCGTACGTTCAACTTTTCCAAATTCATTATCTTATCGATAATTGTTTATAGCATATATCAATTAACTTAATAAAATGGAAATTGTAAATGCAAATGATGAAAATTCTTTTGATCCAACACCAAAATTAAAATCTAGTCCTATACTCATTAAATTTATTCCTTTTAATCGGGATGATACAAATTGTATTTATTGTGGAGAAAAATATATTAAAACACTTCTTAGTTCTAGTCAAAAATATTGCAAAAAATGTTTATCATATTATATTAATGATATAACTGATAATAATATATACTTGGACGTATATATTTACACAATGGACTTGGAATGTAATGAGCATGAAATAAGCAGGACAAAAGTACCACAAAGTATTCAAGAATGTTGTAGGAATTGTGTGAGAATTTTATGTTTTAAACCAATAGGTGAACTCGATGAAAAAGATCTCAAATTATACAATAAGGTGATTGAAAGTGAAAGAAATTGTAAATTATGTGGAAAGTCATTTCTTCAAGGAACAGATGAAAAGAATATGAAGCAATTTAAATTATGCTCAGATTGTTATTTAATTTCTTCTGGATTGATGGAATCAACCTTGGTTAAAAAGCAAATTTCAATTCTTCACTTACCATGGTGGTATGATGAACTTAGCTGTAATTCATGTTATTCAAAGTTAATATTTACGTCAGACTGTCAAAAGTATTGCGAAATTTGTTGTATATTTTATGTTGGATGCAGATATTGTTTAACAACAAACATTCTTTTTGGACCTATTGATCAATCTCAATGTAAAAAATGCAAAAGAGTGAAAAGAATATCACTTATAAGTGAATATAGTGATGGTCTTGATGATTTTCTTTTTAATAATGTTATATATGATAGATTAAGTGAATTTACGTCATCTAAATTTGAAAATATTATAAAAAATATTGATAAAAATTTTGAGCCACGGAAAATATTAGATTCTGTATTTGATAAACCAAAATTTTGGAAAGAAAAAAAAAAAATTTATAAAAATTCTGATCAATTGATATCAAAAAAAAAGTTTGTAAAGTCAATTAGATGGATACCTTATTTTCAATTTAAAGGTATAAAAGAAATGACAAAAGGAGGTTATGGTATTATATATAAAGCAACTTGGTCATATACGAATGAAACTGTCATTTTAAAAAGATTTGAAAATTCTAAAAATATTGGCAAATATTTCTTAAATGAGGTAAAATATTCTAAACATTTCTATAATTTCTTTTAAATAAACTTAATTTTTAATTTAATTTAATCTTTACATTTAAATAGTTGAAATCGCTTCAACATTGTTTTGAAAGCTATAATGGTTATATCATTGAAACGTATGGCTTTACAAAAGTTCCTGAATTAGGGGATTATATATTAGTTATGAGATATGCGTCAGGAGGAGATTTACATAAGCATTTGCAGAAGAATTTTACAAATATTACATGGAACCAAAAAATAGATATTTTAAATCAAGTTTCAAATGGGTACTTATATTTTATATTTACTAATTATACTCTTTAAATTAGGTTATTAATTTTTATATATTTTTTAGGCTTAAAACTATTCATGATAAAAAATTTATACACCGAGATTTCCATAGTGGAAACATATTATGTGATAGATGGAATATGTATCGACATAAATGGAAAATTGGAGATCTAGGATTATCACAAGCTGTAAATAATAGATTATCAAATAATGAAATATATGGAGTGATACCTTATATTGCACCAGAAATCTTTAAAGGGTCTGAATTTTCTCAGAAATCTGATATTTATGGGTTTGGCATGATTATGTGGGAGCTTACTACGGGTTGTAAACCTTTTGCTGATGTTGAACATGATCATACTCTTATTTATAAGATTCTTGATGGAGAACGACCTAAAATTACAGATGATACACCAAAATGTTATACTAACTTAATGAAAAGTTGTTGGGATCCTGATCCTAAAAAAAGGCCTTCTATAAAAGAAATTCATTCAGCTTTTTGTTTGTGGGCATTAATTGCTAAATATAAAGCAAAATTTGGTCAAGCTGAAGCAAAAAGAAAGAAACTGATAGAATCAAAGAAACTTGGACCGGAATTTGCTGAAAAACATCATTCAGAAGCAATTTATACAAGTAGGGCATTAATTGCTTTAATTTCTAAATGTTCATCTGTCTATTCATCTTCAACAATTTCATTTGGTAAGTAAAGTATTTCTAAAAAAAGTTAATAGTAAATTAAAAAATTATATACATAATTATAAGAAACCTGTTGTAATATTTAGGTTCCAATTATATCTCAGAACTAGACACTGAAAGGTAATAAAACTAGGAAACGGGAACCGTGTAAAAAACTAAAATTTGCGATTTCATTTGGTGACGATCACGTGGCGGACGAGCAATTCACGTGATCGATTTTTTTTTATAGTGCGTCCTTCGCTTCGCTCCGGACAATAACAAAAAAAAATTTTTTATTTAAATGACGTAACTAATTATTTTGAATTTATTATTTATTCGTTTAGTTTGTCATCAACTACTTTAGATTTTAATTATATCTCAGCAGAATTAGAGTTTGATATAAGTACTGAAAGGTATTTAAAGTAACAAAAAAAACAAATGTTTTTGAATGACATAACTAATTATTTGAATTCATTATTTATTCGTTTAGTTTGTCATCACAAAATTTGAATTCTATGATTCAAAAATTTTCAACCGTTTTAGATTCTAATTATATCTCAACAGAATTAGAGCTTGATATAGACACTGAAAGGTATTTAAAATAAAAAAAAATTGCTTTTTAAATAGCAGATAACAAATGATTATTTAAATTTATTAATTTTATTGTTTAGTTCATCATCACAGAATTTAAGTTCTACAATTCAAAAATTTTCAACCTCTTTAAAAAGGAGAAGAATTGATGTAGATGTTGAAGCTCATGATAATTATGGTAAATATTTTGTTTGTTTTTGTTGTTTTTTTAAGTTAATATCTACTTTATTTTGATTCAAATTTAAAATATTTTAAGTAGCAAAACATATTAAAACCAGTTAAATTAGTTACAGACTTTCAGTTATCTAGTAGTCGTTTTTTTTAGAACCCGAGCTCGTTGTTTACTTGTTTTATCTATAAATTACTTTTAACTTTTTTAACTTGTATTTATAATATTTCAATTTGTATTTGTCATCTATTGGTGCGTTGACTATTTCGGATATTCATTATCATTGTTTTTATTATCTTCATCTATATCATTATTATCATGTATTCAGTTTACTTATGTATTCCAATTGGTATTTATAATGAACAGTTATTTTATATTTAAGAAACGTAATTTGTGTTTTATAAAATTGTATAATTGTACTTTAACAAATATTTTATAAACTAAGAACAATATTGGTTTCTGTATTTCATTTCGCAATCAAATTTGTAGCATTAAAAATTAGGAATGGTATTGGTTATTAAGTTCATATTGTAGCGAAATTACAAGAGCCTAACGGTATTACTGAATACATTTCGTTATCCGTAATAGCAAAGTGTGCGAAATATCTGATGTTTTTCCTTGATCAACTACAACAAATATTACATGTTGCCTTTTACTTATCTTACTTACCTTCTACTACTGTTGCGCAGTGTTGCATACGGATATTTCCATCTAATCAAATAAGAATAACTTTAACAAGCTTCGTTTACGGTATTATGACAACTGAAACTGATCAACGAACGAATGTTTGCTAAATAAATTACAGTTATCAACTGAATAAAGTTGCCGTATCACCACATAATTTTCTAATTTAATTTTCATTATAAAGCGAATATAAAATTGGAAATAAAGATCATGTTTAAATTTGAAAAAAAATACATAATATTTTATAATAGAAATCATGTTAAAAAAAATTATTATCGAAGCTTTATTTTAGGAATTTTACCTGAACGGTGTAAGCCTGTAAGGTTTATAAATTACAATGCATAAATTTCTCGGTTATCAGCGGGTCATTATAAAAAAATTAATTAACGGAATTAATCGAAAATTGGGCTAAATACTATAATTCAAAAAAAAAATGTTACCTTCGAATTTATGAATGAGATAATTTGTTTAATTAAATTTTTTTTTTCGGAAAATTTAATAAATACTGCGTACTGCGTGCTTGTAACATTTTGTGTAACCATAATTGATTTAAACAGCAAATATATATATAAATTTATAGAAAGAAAAAGTTTTTTTTTTGCATAATTTTTACTTAAATAAAAATTTAATAAGAAAACTTAAAATAATAACGAATATCCTGTCTCTATTCAATGTAATATGGCGCCGCTTTGATGCTAAGAAGTAGAAATTGATCCAATTTTAATATAAAATAAATTTAAAAAATTATAATCCAATTACTTTATTTTATATAAAATCTAATAATAATAATATATATATATATAGAATCTACAATGACGTTTGCTGCTGTCTTTAGAGCGTACAATGGTGGACATTACTTTTTGGAAACGGAAACAGAGAAATTTGAAAAAATGCGTAGTCAAATATTGCATATTCTAAATAATTTCCCCCTTTTTGGGAGGCAAAAGTATCAATCTTGATAGTTCTGCGGTATATTTCTTGATATATTTCGTTGTGAAACCTAATTATGCAATTTTCTTGATAGATTTCGTTGTGAAACTTAAATATGCAATTTTCTTGATAGATTAAAAGCGTAACACAAAATTTTGGTACATTTCTTGATGGATTTAAATTTTTTTCTCGGACTTATACTCTTAATTTTTAAATTTATTGTCCGAAGTAGGACACTTTCATTCTACTCCAAATAGGATCAGGTGTAACCTTAAATTTGTTTACATGTCCCCTGATTTAAAATTTCTTTATATACTTAAAATATACTTAAATTGAATTTTAAGTACATTTTAAGAATACTTTAACATGTAAAAAATACATTTATATTGTAAACATGTAAAAATTATAAGAAATTAAAAAATTTATTTGTTATTTTTTGAATGGCGTAAAAAACTTTTAAGAAATATTAAGAAATTTTAAATCAGGGATTTATATAAAACGCTTATTAATGATGCATTATTAAATTCTAACAATCAATGATATCAAATTACAATTTTTATTTAATAATATTCTATTACGAATTATTGTATATTTATGTTTTTAATTTGTATTTGTTTTTTTTCAAAATAAAAATTAAAATAACTGAAAATAAATAAAAAATAAAAAAAATAAAACAATTGATTTCATAAATAACATGAATTTTTGATCGTTGTGTTGTTGATTTCTTACATTTTATTATGAGCATGTGATTTATGACGCTTCGGACGCATCAACGGTTACCGTTTCCTAGTTTACTTCTTAGCTACAAAACGGCACCATATTATATAGAATCTTCGTTATTATTTTAAGTTTTCTTATTAAATTTTTATTAAAGTAAAAATTATGCAAAAAAGAAAAATAATAATTAATCTATGAAATACAATTTAATTATTAAATCAAGGGGTAGTTTTTTGGATGAGAAACTCATTAATCCTATGTACTCAAAAAAAAATTTATACAAGTATAAATATACCCCTTTTTTATTTCTGACTTTTATCACTTTTAATATTTTTTACAAAGATAAAATAATCATGTATAGACTTGCAAGATTGTTACCTAAGACTAGACAATTCTTACCTAAAACTGTACAGTCCGCTAAATGTTATACAACCGGTAAGAGATGTTTGGTGTTATAGTAAATTTATTAAGGATATAAATAACGCAATTTTTACTATATAAACTTAGATAACTTGCAAAACAATGCAAAGCATGATCTTACTCGACATGTTCAGTATGGTACCCTCGCAGGAGGCTTCGTAGGAGCTGGTGGAATGGGTGCTGCTTCAATGTACGGTATTTGGAAGATCACTAATTCTTCAATCGATCGGGCGATCAAACCAATTAATGACGTAGGCGAAAGAAGTTTTTAATGATTATTATCAATATTATCTAATAAGTGCAAATTCAGTATCTTTGTTCAAATCTAGAAACTTGATGAATTCAATTCTCAAATTAATGAATTGAGAAAACAAACTTCTGTCTTCACCAATGAATTAAGTTTCATAAAAGGGGCGTTACACATAACTGGATCTAGTGTTGGCGTTGAATCGGTCAAAAATGATAAAAAATGAATCCCTCAATGACATATATTCTTTTCTTCCCTAAAAAATTATATTTCTCATATATTTTAAACAAATTATATATATATTTTTTCATAAGTTTTAAACAAATTATGTATATTTTTTTATAAATACCTAAACCCCTCTTTATATTTAGAATATTAATTTTCTTTCTCTTGCTAATGTAAAAAATAAAACAAAGCTTATTTTCGCTAGAATTGCTATACATAATTTTCATCCGCAAATTTGTTGTTTAATGCATTGCATTATAATCAATGTGTTTCAATTTTTTTATTGCAAGCTGTGAAAACTTTCAATCTAGCCGAAATAATTCGTCCCTGTACTTGCGCCTATGGTACGTGTGATGTCGATAATAGAGATTTTCTCGGCAAAAGGTCAAAATATGTCCGAAATTTTCATGGACATCTGTAGAGTTGGGAAGATCAATTAGTACCGTGATGACATTTCCTAGAAAATAAACTTGTTCATTTGATTAATGATATCGATGATGAAATAATGATATGTATTTTCGCTGAATTTCTGATTCCAAAATAGATCCCTAGACTTACTAGACCTACAGCAAATTACATAAAAAGGTGAATCAAAAGAATATGACCGCATCACAAAAATCTGACCATCATAGAAAAACTTGACGTATATAAAGATTAACAAGGGGCATCAATTAATTAGAGTCCCCACGAACTTGGCATAGTTACAATCCCATGTCTTCTACTTTTTCTGGAAAGTACGGTTGGACCCATAATAAGACATCAACTAATTTATAAATGTTTCAAATTGAAGTTTTTTAAAAAATCACGTGATTACAATAATAATGATTTGTGATTGGCTAAAATTCAAATACGCAATTAATATAATTATTTTAAATTGGCCAAAACTTATACTTATTAATGTGGGCCAAATATTTATTTTATTAATTCTTCAATATTTTCAAAAATAAAATCTGGAACAGCCCGATGTGATTTATATTTTTTTAACACATAATCAGCCTGCACTCCTGTTAATCCTTTTCGATAACATTCCATAAAATTTGCTGATTTTCGTGCATATTTTCGTATATGATTTAAAGGAACTGAATCTAATTCACGTGGGGCTGTTTCCTGCAAACCTTTCCATGTGTAATCACAATGCTGCCGAGCATAACGTTTTGCAGCTCCCCAATACATTTCAATATAATTGAGCTCACAGTGGAATTTTGGATAAAATATTACTTTATGTCCAAGCCCTTAAATAACTTCTTGTAAAATTGGTTTTTGGTTAAGAAAATCCTCTTGAGTAGCTAAAACATGACGTGCACAGCATCTTGGATTTTCCACTGATGCTTCTTTATTACCACAAAATCCTTTTAATCCTGAACCGTACCCCATAGACCACGTTCTTGTAAAATTAATTTCATACCTTTAGGTTTTCCACGAAGATTTTTATCTGGGTAATCATTAGGAAATACCATACTTTGAATCTGACCATTAAAAATAGTATCACGCATTATTGGTTGTTTTCCGCCAGGATTAAGGTTCATATTAGCTGCATTGAGAGTATCATCAGCTAATTTGGCATGGCTAGAGGAATTGTCAAATGCAAATACTGCAATCATTCCAGGATGTATTTTTTCAAAAATTGGAATTGCACGAGTCTTAATCTTTAGAAAAAATAATAATTAATAATTAAAAAACAATCAAAAATAAAATACATTAAATTCTTTTCAATAATTATTACCTGATCAATTAATTGATCAATATTCCACCATCCATCAAAATTTTTTCCAGGATTGATTATAACACGAGCTTCATGTGGAATTGTGTCATCAATATCATCTTCATTTAACTTTAATCTTCCTATAGTATCTGTTAAAAAATCACTAACATGAATAGATTGGTCTTGTCCTTTTTTGCGCAATGGTTGTTCATTTTTGGGCCTCCAACCCGATTTTTGACCATCATTTGACTGAAAAGTAGTTTCATCATGAGTTACAAGGATGTGCAAACGTTCTCCATCCATTAATTCAGGGTTAATTTGAGTTTCGCATTCTTCACCAATAAATTTTGGCATTAATTTCTGATAACTATAAAATATAATTATATTTAATTAAAATATTAAATTTAAAGTATAAAATCTCTCATTATAAATAAATAAATACATACTTAGCCATATTTTCAAGAAATTCTTTCCGATAGGCAACAACATCCTCTCTTTAATGGCCATCAACATACATTCCTTTTGCATAACGACCAAACATAAATCACATTTTTTTTAACCATCGATTTGCTGTTGATTTGCTAAAAATAATAAAATAAATAAGATAGTTAATTAAATAAATATATTATATAATGTAAATAAGTTTATTATACCTAATTGTTGATTTATTTTCTATACCAATGGAAGGCAAAATTTCTTCACAAATAAAATCACGAAAACTATTAACAGTAACATCAAATTTGTGTTGTTGCAAATATAAAGATATTTTTAGTTGAACATCTTCATCATTAAGAATACTGCTCCCTTTAAAATGTTGTCCTCGATTACTTTTAGGAACATCATCATAGTTTTTAAATGCTTTAGCCCAACTTCTAACACAACGTGCAAACCATACTCCACGATTTAAAAGCTCTGCAACAGTTTGACTTGCTTTTAATTTTGCATGCCCTTTACTGAGAAGCTGAAAATAATATTAAACAGCTTTGAGATGCATTTTGTGCCCTGAAGTTAATTGCTGATTTTCAGTTTTCAATTTAGTTTCAATCTGGTTGATAAAAGTTACATATTTCATAGATTTATTTGCATTTTCCTTATTGATTTCTTCATCATTATTTTGTGTCTCTTCGCTATCTGATGTTTCTTGAGATTTTTCTTTAGATAATAGTTGAATCAGTGTTTGTCCATTTTTCTTTTGGTTTTCCAATGCTTTGATTTTTCGTCTATACTTAGTTGTTCGAGAGTTTCCTAAATTAACTAATGGACGCTTAGAAAACTTAAGTGTTTCCATATTTTTCATTAAAACTGAGAAAATTGCTCTGCCTCATTTTCAATTTGATTATCAACTCTCTCAATTTCTTCATCGGTGCTTTCATCATCATCTGAATTTAAAATATTGACAATTTTTCTTTTTTTTTAGCTATATTGCGACAATGTTGTGTTATTCGGCATGAGAATAAAAAAAATTAAGATCAACGTCGTGTGAAAAATTTTTCGAAACTTAAATACAAGTTATTTGTGTAACGATACATATCTTAAATCTGGCCCGCATTATAGAATTTTGGAAATTCCGGCCAGAATTATATGTTTCAAATCCTTCTTTTAATATATTAATAAAGTACTTGAACTTTGAAAGCTAATAACTTTTGATATAGATGTTCAACTGAAATAATCTCAACGTCATTTTATAGTTTAGGTTAATAACTATCAAATTATGTTAAGATTTTACTAAATATACATACCAAAAAAAAATTATTTTATTTTAAAATAAACAAATTTTATTGGATGCGTTATTATGGGTCCAACTATACACCTCTTTATCACGATCAGTCGATCGTTGTAAAAATTTTTATTACGCTATACAAAGGTTTGGGGAATACATGATGACGTTTTTATACAAAGAAAACAAGTACAAAATTCGGATCTTAGCCCGTAATACATGACGCTTCTATAATTATTTTTCTTGATTTTTTTCTTCTACGCGACGCTTCTTAGATCTATGTACGAACATGTGATCAAACAGATCATTAAATGGTTAGTGTTAGGCTGTTGGCCTATCCATTATCATTGGAAATGGTTTTATATTATTATTTTGATAATTTATATCTCATAATTGAAAAAGTTATAAAAAAAAGATTTATTTAAATTACAAACTAAGAAACTTGTAAATATTTTACTACTCTAGTCTTAGTGTTTAAATAATTATAAGTATAATAAAAAAAGAAAAAAAAAGGAATTATTTAAATTACAAACTAAGAAACTTATAAAATATTTTACTACTCTAGTCTTAATGTTTAAATAAATCTAAAAAGAATAAAATAAAATTTCTTTTAAATGTATAATATCAAATATCACTTAAAAACTATAAATTTTTTTAAAAACAAACAATGACTAGTTAATTTTCATCTGTTTTAATATCTAAGTTCAAATATTAAATAAATTAATTTCACATAAATAATTTGTAAGAACAATTTTCTTTATATACTATATTACATACCTAATGACTTCAAATTAACTATACAATCATCCAAATCTTCAGCTTGTGAATCCTCACTTTCAAGAATTTCATTTACTTTTTCACTAGTAGATTGACTTGAATAATAAGCTTGTAAATCTCTACTTTCAAGTATTTCATTCAATTTTTTACTAGTAAAATCAAGTAAACGACTTGTATAATATGCTTTAGGATGAGATTGAGTAACAAGATTGTTATACTGCCCAATTGGTGCATTTATAAATTCCATAATGTTGCTTTTTAATTCATCATTGACTTCATTAGGACGGGAAATCCATTTGTCAATAATTTCCAATACTTCTTTAGAAGATGGTCTTTTTAATGGATCTTCATTCCAACATCTTTTCATTAAATCTACATAACATTGTGGAGTATTTTCAATAATTTCAGGACGTTCACCATCTTTACAAATACTTAAAGTAAGTTGAATATCATGTGCTCTATCATTAAATGGTGGTACTCCAGATGTAAATTCCCACATAATCATAGAAAAACTATATATATCACTAGCTGGAGTATAAGATTTGCCTCTTAAAACTTCAGGAGCCATAAATGGTATAACACCATAAATATCATACTTTTCCAAAAACGATTTTACAGGTTGACATAATCCTAAATCACTAATATAAATTATATTCTCATCATGATTTAAAATATTACCATCATGAAAATCACAATGAATAAGATTTTTTTAATGTATAAAAATAAGTCCAGTAATAATTCTGTACAACATATATAATTTTTGATTCCAATTATTTTTGACTATTCTTGTTAAATTTTCTCTTAAATTACCATTATTTGCATAAGCCATTACTACCGCATATTTTGAAATTTTTGGATCTTTTGTAAATCCATAAAAATTTACAATATCAATTGATGAATTTAAACAATTCTTATGATAGTCCCACTACAAAAATTAATAATAATTAATTAATATAAATTATAAAAATAAAAAAATAATATACTATCAATCTATCATACTTCTTTCAAAAATTCATTTAAATTTTCATTTAAATTCTTGGGACATTTAAGAATTACTTATATTTCATATCCATCATTATTTAACCAAATAGCTTTGTATATAGCACCAAATCCTCCTTCTTTAAGATATTCAACATTTTTAAATTTGTTATAAGGAATCCATCTTAATTTTTTTTCAAGAATAAAATCATCTATAATTGTATTTCCACTTTTTCCAAATCTATAAATTTAAATAATTAAAATTTTATTATAGATTGTATTATAATTTACACTAAAATAAATTATTACTTACTCTAAAATTTAAATAGGAATTTAATGTAATATAAGTCTTAGTTTTTGGATAAATACATAATAACC